GAGATTGCCGTTGTTCCCGATTTTCATAAGCGAATTTTGTTTAGCGATGAAGCACACTTCTGGTTGAATGGCTACTTCAACAAACAAAACTGCCGCATGTGGAGCGAAGCTAATCCTCAAATGTATTTCGAAACACCGCTACATCCAGAAAAACTGACTGTTTGATGCGCTTTATGGGCTGGTGGAATCATTGCGCCGTACTTCTTCAAAAACGATGATGGCCAGAACGTTACAGTCAATGGTGATCGGTATAGAGCTATGATTACTAACTCTTTCATTAATGAATTGAATAACCATGATGTCCAGGAGATGTGGTTTCAACAAGACGGCGCAACATGTCACACAGCTCGTGCACAATTGATTTATTGAAAGACACGTTCGGTGACCGCCTAATTTCACGTTTTGGACCTGTGAATTGGCCTCCAAGATCTTGTGATTTAACACCACTAGACTACTTTCTGTGGGGCTATGTAAAGTCATTGGTCTATGCGGATAAGCCACAAACGCTTGACCATTTGGAAGACAACATTCGCCGTGTTATTGCCAATATACGGCCACAAATGTTGGAAAAAGTCATCGACAATTGAACGTCCAGATTGGACTACATCCGCGCCAGCCGTGGCGGTCATATGCCAGAAATCATATTTAAAATGTAATGCCACAAGATTATCTTTCGGATAAATAAAATTCATATCAATCGAATAATCCATCATTGTTTTATTGCAACTTAAAGTTCTATACATCGAAAAAAAAATACCCCTTATATACCTGAAAGGACAAAATAGCAAATAATAGAGAAAAACCTATCAAGATGAGATTGAACCCAGACAGATACACATTATAGTTATTAAAAAATATAGTTTTATATCTAGTCATTTTTTCGAAAGGCGAATCTTTAATAAATTTATAATAAGGTAATCAAGACATGTTGACTTACGTAAGTCCAAATATTTTAAAGCGTAGATGAAAGTATTGTCATTATAAAACTCCACGGTACGAAGTGTGAACAGTGTGGCCAATTGTTTCAAATTGATAAGTGTTACCTACGCAACAAATCTCATCTAGTTTAATGAAGCAGGCATAGCCTTTATAAAAGCATTTCAGAAAAATGTTGTTACTCAGCGATAATTCCTAGAATTGCTGATTTAAATGGCTGGGTGGTAGATCAAAGCGTGCAAAGCTTGAATAAAAATTCGTATAGTGCGAACCGACTGTAATGTTGACATCTGCTGGAAAAATTTTTGGTTTAGGACAACATGTCATCAAAAGCTTTTTTTGAAGTGGCTACAGTAAAAATTAAAACCAAGGACGAATCGCTTGCCCTCTTTCATTTTTCTTTTTTCTTGCCGATATTAATGACTTTTTTTCTGCATTGACTTTCCAAAGACTCTCCATTGATGGATTCCATAACATCAACCTCCTTACCTACGCAGACGATGTCGTCTTATTAGCTAAGTCAGAGACTCAACTACAGACTCAATTAAAAAATATATGTTTGACCAGGTATGAAAAACGAGAGTTTTCTTACAATCAATGAATAAAAACATTAGTTATGTGCTTTAGTAACTCATCTTCGCCAACCCAGCCAAAGCTCTTCTTAAAAGGTTTAATTATGTTAGTGTGGCATTTTATTCTTCCTCTTTGATTAGACAAACAGAAAATATAAATTGAAGGTCAAAAAGTAGATATCGATATCATGGTCCTTCTTTAAATAGAACACAATTTTCGAATTTATGTAGCATAAATTACATTTTATGCGCAAAAAAAATAAGAAACCGATATTTTATTTTGAAATGAACGGGTAAGTAGCTAGTACCAGTAAAGTTTTTAATTTGTCCCAATTGCATTTCTGCGCTTCTCAATGAAACCCAGAGAATTCATATTTTAATTCTTATTGGATATGGAGACAAAACGAGAATTCAAGAAGAAGTTTGTAATGTGTTTTTTTCTACACCCTTTTGTAAAATACCTAATTATACTCTTATGTAGCGTGTCATTTTAAACGCCTGTTTCGTTTACCATGGATCCGAGCCACTTTGGACATGGCAATTATGTTAGTGAATGTATTCATGTTGTTTTGTAAAAATATACACGTTCGGTAACCTTTTTAAGTCACTAATTTATTTGGCACGAGCGGAGGGAGTTTCCCTGATGTGTTGCATACTATGCCGTTTACCACACATGGTGCATAATATTGTAAATTGAGCGACAATTTATTGAAACAGGACATGTTCGTCTACAATCATGTCATCCAAAAACTAATGAGAACGCAAGACTAAATATTTTATTAGACGTTGGAAATAGTCCCCATGGTTCATCATCTGAAGTAATTTCGTCCGTAGCTTCTGTCTCATGACCGATACAAAAATTTCTGAAATACAGTTTAAGATTATATCTCCATAAATGCAATCTTTATCAAAAAATTATAAGATCGAAGTCTCCACATTATCTTATCAAGAAAATCAGATTTCGTGCAGACATTCACAGTTGAAATATACAATTTATAAGCCCTCTTACGCCTCCACGTCACACCTCCGAAACTTTTGAAAGAACCTTTACATGTGACATGGCTAAAACGTATAATGCATTGAATCAGTCTCTTAAATTACTAAACAATACCTTTTCGATACATATTCGTGATGCCTTATTTTCATTAAATATTTAAATAATTTTCAATATAACTATTCATAACATGTATATCCCTCTATTTGCTAAAATCCTAATCTTTATTTACTTTTTTATGGGTATCTTTCTCGTCTAATGCTTCTACCTTTTTTTTTACTTTAACAATAGAGGCTCAAAATATTTTATTATATTCATCTAAACCGTCTCTTTTAAGATTAAAGATTTTGTTATAAATTGAGGAGTGTATTGTATACTATACATTTTTGCTATCGTCATTTCGATACGTTCTTGCAAAACAATACGAATGCATTTACTGCGTGACGTCTGCCATGACCGTAAGAATTGACAAAACATTGAGACCGTTTGCTCCCAAGCCCGTGGGTCCCCGCAAGTGTCGGAAGTGGCTGTCGTAAAATAACACTTTCCGTTAGCTTAATCGGTGTATAATTGGATATTTTGGAGAAGGGAGTAGAAAAACGAAATTGTACTACTCTCTCAGCTCCTTTCCCAAATCCAATCCAATGCCATGTAGACAGATTTGGTTTCACGAGAATGGTGCTCCAACCCATTTACCTCAACAAATGCGTGAATATTTAAATGCAATATTTCCCGGACAGTGGATGAATGATCTGCAAGATATATTACCCCAATACATTCTTCCCGGGGCAAAGGATTGGTGGAAATGGATCAATTGAATGACCTGTACGATTTCCAGATATTAATCCACTGGATTGTTTACACTTGGGATATTTAGAATCAAAATTTTGTAAGGAAAAACCACAAAAGTATGCTGTGCAAATTTAATCAGTAATGTTTTTTTTTAATTTTTAAATCGATTGGTATATTGTCAAGAAGTGGGCATTTCCAACACTCAATAAATCTATAAATTTAATCTCAATTTTACTTACTTTACAATGAGTCTTTCCGCATATTTTTTGGTAAACAAATTACAAGCACCGTGTATATTTTCTATTTACTGCAAGAAATCCGATACCTGATTTGTAAATGAATTTCTTAATTATTCTAACTGATCACTATATTAAATGATATGTTTAAACGTCTCATTAATGTGAGGATGTTTTAAATTTACTATATGCAAAGATTGGCGTCAGGTGTGGGGTACAAAGCAAGCCTCTATGCCGATTATCCTTATTGCTATAACGTTGTTGGATGATTAAATGTTCCCCTCGTTCTCAAAAATCTTTAAAAAGAAACCTATCGATATTTAGGGCGGCTAAACTTCTCAGAAGCGAAAAATCAATTACCCCGACCACCGGCAACCTCCAAAATTTGTTAAGCAGAATCCGACGCGCCCCGCGGGTCATCACCTCCGATTCATCCCTTTTGAATGCCACCCTTCCACGTTATTGACTCCGTCGGACCCCAATAAATCCCCTCCGGCCTCGAATATGGTAAATCAGCATAACGGCGTAAACAAAAAGGGGTGGGTGGATACGTAAATTGATCGATGAATCGGGTAGGGACCGCCTGGAGGCCAAATCCAAACCACAAAAGACCCAGACGGTGGAAAAAATAATTGGAACGGAATTAAGCGGTCGCGATTGATTGATCGCGCCCACGCTCCATCGTTGTCAGATTTTAAAAAAATACGCCGCGTTAAATGGCAATGGCAACCACTCCCGGATGCACTAAAAATGATGGAGACCTTTTTCGGCTCGGGCTACGGCTACATTATTTATATTATTATATTATATATAAATCAGCTAAATGATAGGAGCCAAGAAGGCCCATGGCTTGGTTACACGTTTTTCTCCATTTGATTTCACTCTTTGATAAAGTTTGCCCATCCTGCACTTTCATTTCCTTCAGATCATTTTGAACAGCTTAAATCCATTATCTCCGCAGCCTATCTTCGAGTTATCCCCCGTTCAGGATCTGCTTAGAAGGAAGTTCATCTCCTACTTTTGCTACATCACCCAGGCACCTTAAACTTTGAGCTCTCGCGACGGTTGTTATGTATAGTTCTCCATAGAGCTCTTTAAGCTCCATATTAGCCACTGATCCTCTACCTTCTTTCCACCAAATATTCTTCTCAATACTTTTCTTTCAAATATTTCTAATGCTTCCGTCTCCCTGTTGTTGGGCTCCTATACTTCACATCCATACAAGACAGTAGTCTTAATCATCGTTGTGTACACTCTTTCTTTGAGGCTGCTTGACACGTTCTTTGCTCTTAATATGTGATGCAATCCTCCCATACATTTTATATACCTTTTGCTATCTTTTCTTAAATTTCATGCTTTTCCTCACAATCTGATTGGGTCGTCGCGACCCTGAGGTTAATTTAAAGCGGACTGTAATTTTTTTTTTTTAATCAGAGCCCGCAAGACGTGGACGTGAGGGTAGAGACGGCACTAACTTCTTCTCGCTGCTGTCTCGCTGGACTGGGGCCCCAATAGCAGCTCCTGTTCGATCTTGATGATCACGGTCTCGGTCCGGTGGAGGTGGTTCACACGCACACGCAATGCGGAGGGAGACAATAGTTTCTTCTTTTGGGGGTTCAACACTTCGGCCAAGCCGTTGAAATGTGGAGCGCCGGGGCTATTAAAGCTCCACTGAATAGTCGCAGTCTGGGCGGCGAGTTTGAAATATTCGAGAATTTGTTTATGGGCACCGACAAAGGAGGTTCCTTGATCGCTGATTATTTGTGAGCATCGGCCTCGGCGAGCTACGAACCGCCGAAAGGAGGCAATGAATGCTTCTGAAGTTAAATCAGAGACCAACTCCAGATGGATGGCTTTTACGGCGCAGCATACAAATACGCAGATATTAGTGACTTGGCACCTCGAGACTTGCTCATGGTAATCGAGAGGGGGCCGGCGTAATCTAGACATACCACCGAAAAAACTTTTAGTTGTGAAACTCTTACGGCTGGGAGGTCGGCCATAAAGGGAGAGTAAGATTTGGGCTTCGCCCGGAAGCATCGAATACACTGGGACAAGACTCGGTGTATAGCAGTGCGTGGGGAAAGGATCCAAAATTGCTGTAGCAAAATGTATTGAAGAGTCTTAAAGCCTACGTGTAGGTTTTGTTTGTGTGCCCATTCTATAATAAGCTCTGTCAATCGGTGAGATTTGGGCAATAATAAAGGATGCTTCTCGTCATAGGGTAAATTGGAACGCCTAATCCGACCATCCACCCTGAGGCAGCCTCGCCCATCTAGGAAGACGGCTAACTTGCGAAAGGGTTTGGGAGGCAGATTATTTTTGTTTAGTTGTTCAACGATGTCTGTAAAGCAAAACATTTGAACGTGTTTTACGATCACCAGAAGCGCATTTTGAATCTCCAATGGGGAGAGAGGACCGAATTGTTTTGTAAGTTTATCGGATCTGGTATTCGAAATGAATCTAAGGACGTAGGCTATTGTGTGTTGTATTTTGGGCAAAGAGTAAAATTTATTCACCAACAGCGTTAAAAAGTGCTCCTCGAAACTGGTGTGCAAGACTAAAGTTCGCTCTTCGCAGAAGACCTCTTGGGGACGAATCTCAGTAATGTCCGGCTGTTGAGGCCAATTATTGGGTTCCTGTGCAAGCCAAGCGGGGCCTTGAAACCATAAGCCATGGTTTACGAGCTGAGCGGGTGTTACACCTCGGGAGACGCAATCAGCGGGGTTCTCCGCAGTGGGAACGTAGCGCCAACTAGTGAAGGGAATGAGACCGTGTATATGTGCCACTCGATTGGCCACGAAGGGTTTCCAGCGATGCGCTGGGGACGCCAACCATGCCAAAGTAACTTGTGAGTCAGACCATGCAAAGACTGCGTCGAGAGTGACGTGCCTTGCATAGACCTGCTTAACGTAGTCGACAAGGTCGCTGAGAAGTGCGACAGCGATTAGTTCCATGCGGGGAATCGAGATGGCGGTTTTCAAAGGGGCTACTCGAGACTTACCAATGACGAGATGGATCTGAGGATTGCCAGTAAAATCTCTGCATTTGAGGTACACCGCTGCCCCGTAGCCAGTCTGCGAGGCGTCGCAGAAACCATGCAGTTCCACCAATTGTGGTTCGTCTACAAATATACGTCTCGGAATTTTAATGGCTCTTAGTTCGGGAAGTTCCGACTTAAAATTATTCCACTGTCGACAAACATCGTCACTGGGGATTTCGTCCCAGTCCGAGTGAGCGAACCAAAGCTTTTGCATTAAAAGTTTAGCGAATAGCACCACGGGTGACAGAAAGCCTAAAGGATCGTAGACGCGAAAGATTTGACTGAGAATATTGCGTTTGGTACAAGGTAGATCTCTGGGCGAGCAGGAATGAGAAAACGTGTCGCAAGAAGGGTTCCATTGCAAACCTAGGACTTTAATACATATGGGCTCATCCTTGTCAAACGAACAGGGCATTTGAAGATGTGAGGCATTGACAGCAGATAGGAGAGCTTCGTGGTTGCTTGCCCATTTCCGAAGCTCGAACTTCCCTGTTTGAAGAAGCTGAATAAGTTCTTGCTGTAAGCTTAGCAATGCATCAAGGAGGTCCGCACCTGCGGCGATATCGTCTATAAAGATTTGATGCTCCAAGGCTTGGGCCGCGCGGGGAAATTTTTTACCTTCCCGTATGGCCAACTCTTTGATCGTTCTGAGGGCCAGGTAAGGAGAGCTGGACACACCGTAAGTGACGGTGTTTAAAACGTATTCCTGCAAAGGTTCCTGATCGGGGAAGCGCCAGAGAATTTTCTGGAAATTTCGGTGTGCAACGTTTATCAAGATTTGCCGATACATCTGACGTATATCGCAAACGAACACGTAACGATGGAATCTGAATTGTAGGAGTATCGAGGAGATATCCTGCTGCAATTTTGGGCCTGTAAGCTGGGTGTCGTTTAATGAAACACCGTTTGATGTGGCGCATGATGCGTCAAAAACGACACGAATTTTTGTATCTTTGGAGATACAAAAATGAGGTATGTAGTAACCTAGAGGTAGTAACCTTGGGCGGAGTAAGATACCAAAGACATGTGGCCAGATTTCAAATAATCTGTCATAAAATCAACATAAGCCTCTCGGAGGTTAGGATTCTTTGATAAACGCTTTTCGAGGAGGTTGAACCTTTTAAGAGCTTGATTATACGAATTTCCAAGCGTGGGCGCGGAATGCTTAAAAGAAAGTGAAACTACGAATCTCCCGGAGGTCTCGCGGTAGGTAGTTTCGTTATAATATTTGTCACATTTGATGTCATCAGGGGATGGAGGTATGGACCTTGAAATCGATTCAAGTTCCCAAAATTTTTGAAGACCAATATCAAGTGTTGGCTCCGTGATTGGAGAAGGCCAAACATTGGGCTCTGCCTTGCAGGATCCAGCCAAAGACGGTCTCAAGCGCTACCGGTTGATCAAGGTTGCCGACTAGGCGGCCCCTTTCTAAAAGGTAGGGTAATAATTCAGCACCGATTAACAGGTCAGTGTCGCCTGGAATGTTGAATTGAGGGTCTGCAAGGGGCAGATGTTGAATATGGGCCAAGTGTGATCGATCGATTACCATTTTGGGCTGCGAAGAGCAAATTTTGGGCAAGATAATCGCTTCAAAGTTGAATATAGGTTCGAGCTTATCGCAAGGGCGGAGTTGGCATTGGATCATACCTTGGCTGCAACTGGACGACATATTGTTAAGCCCCTCTATGGGAACCAAAACTTTTTTACGGGGTAGACCTGTCTGCGCAGTTCTGCGAGATAAAGTTTGCCATGCTTCCTGTATCTAGCATTATTCGCACCTTTTGGAAGAATCCGTAGATATCTTTCACGTGGGCTACGATAGTGGACAGTAGAACTGTGGATTGTTATGACACGGCAGATGATCCGACAAGAGTCAAGTTTGGTGACTGAAAGCCAGCTGCACAAGTGGAATCGTTTGCGTTTGCATTGGGCAAAGCCTGAGAGTGGCTGGGGGTACTAGTAAAGAGCCGGGGCTCAGTGAATTGAGCTAAGTTGTCGTCCTCGTTATTCTTGGGAAACTGGAGGAGACTATGATGTGGAAATTTGCAAATTTTGCAGTGTACTGAGGTGGGGCACTGCTTTAGGTTGTGTGGAGCCCGTAAACAATTGATGCAGTAATTATGCTGCTTGACAAGGGTAGATCGGTCGCGCGAAGTCTTGGCCAGAAAGACCTGGCAACGAAAAAGTATATGATTACCAGAGCACGCAATACATTTGCTTTTTTGGGCAGAACTTTGTTCAGGCGTGTCGGTTATGAAAGCCGAGGTGGATTTTCTAATGAAATTAGAGCTGGTTGGAGTTTTACTTCGAAGACCAGACGGGTTAGAGTTCATTAATTGCGCCGAGTCCAAGGCCTTACAGAATTCTTCAAGAAAATCGCTTATGTCCTGAAATGTTGGCAACTCAGTTGTCCTGAACTCCTTTTCAAACTCAGTGCGTGTCTGACTATCCAGCTTTGGCAGCATCATGTTAAACAATAAAAAATCCCAACTGTCGGTGTTAAATTTAAGGGCTTTAAGAGCGGATATGTTTTCTGAAAAAGTGTCCAAAAAGGCGCGGAGTTCTCTAGCAGCGGGCTTTTGAACCGCGGGCGCATTAAAAATCTCATGGTAGTGACAGGTGGCTGTGAAACGCTTATGGTCATACCTTTTACGCAAAGCCTCATATGCGATTAAATAGTTGTTCTCCGTAATACTCAAACCCTTAATAACATTAAACGCGTCACCTTTCAATGCTCGATGCAAGTAATGAAACTTTCGGACGTCTGAAAGCCCTACGTTATTATGTACGAGACTATCAAACATGTCTATGAATGGCGACCAGAATTTAAAATTCCCATCGAAAGTAGGAACGTCCATTTTTAATTGAATGGCCGATTCGCGGGGAGGCTCAATATTACTGGCGTTTTGACTAGATGCAGGGGCATCCGTGGAATAAATATCGCGTTTAAACATTTTGATTGCGTAGTAATATATGTCCGCCTGTTTTCGAACCGCATCGTGTTCCTCGAATTCTGCGTCATCGGCAAGCAACATAATTACGGAATTATGAGACTTGCCGAATTCACCGTACATTTCGTCACACTCATCGGCACGAACCAAAAATTGAACTTTTTTTGAAGGATCGGTCTCGACCTTTACCCCGACCTCGTAGGTTTCTTTTAACCGATTAAGAGCAGCAGTGCGTTTCATTACGAGCCTTTTCAATTTTTCGGTCATTTCGAATTAAATGGTAAAAGAACTAGACACCAAAAAATAAACGGCTACGTAAGTAGTACTAATCGACAGGAAATGTAACAAAAAAACGGCAAATACCGACTCTGTTATTATTTGTTAAAGAAACCAAAGCGGAGTAAACAACGTTTTTTATTTGATAATTTTTTGAAAAGTTATTAACACTACGGTCGTAATGCGATATCGTAGGCCTTAGTCAAACCGTGCGCCCAAACACTTGTTTTTATAATCTATATATGGATCTACTAACAAAAAAATAATAAAAAAAAATAAATTTTGTAACTACGGAGGATTTAACCTATTGATGCATTTATGTACCTACCCACAAATAAATGTTTTGAACGAAATACGCCAAGCGAACACTATGACTTTTATATGATGCAGAAAATGAGCATGTAAAATATTGAAAATATAGAAATCGCGAAACATCCGGCATCCCGGTCGAAGGATCAAAATGGGTCGTCGCGACCCTGAGGTTAATTTAAAGCGGACTGTAATTTTTTTTTTTTAAGCAGAGCCCGCAAGACGTGGACGTGAGGGAAGAGACGGCACTAACCTCTTGTCGCTGCTGTCTCGCTGGACTGGGGCCCCAATAGCAGCTCCTCTTCGATCTTGAGGATCACGGTCTCGGTACGGTGGTGGTTCACACGCACACGCAATGCGGAGGGAGACAATAGTTTTTTCTTTTGGGCGTTCAACACTATCGGCGTGCTATCGATGCCAAGTTCGAACGCGAAAAACGTTAAGCACGTTCTTAGTCGCACGTGCGCGCGCTCTCCCTCTCTTTTAGCTCTACATTTTCCACATGGCGGCGACACCTTACGGGCTACTGAATATTTAAACTTCCGCGGTTCTTGTCCGGGTGTTCGCTTTGCGGATTTAACACTTATGTTACAGCTTTTTTCTACTTTTTGAAAATAATATTCGGTATTCTCTGTTATAACCTTCTGAACACTAAACTCTTTTTCTCCTAGTGTCATATATTTTGTTTTAAGAATAATTAAATTTGAAACCTGTTTCTTTAGCTGACTTTTAAAAAATATTAATGAATTAATTAATTCATTTATTTAAAAAGGTCTACCTAACAGGTAGGATGTAATATTAAATAATTAAAGAGGCATTGGAAGGAATGATCATATTACCAAACTTAACCTAAAGTCTAGCCTAACATAAGAGAATGGGAAAATTAACAATTATAGCTCAAGCAGCAATAACGTAATACATCGCCAAAAAACATCCCAATCTTTCCGAGCAATGTATTTGTAGCACATTAAGAAAATACGTCAAAATTTTAATATATTTGTTCTTGGTGTGCCCAGAAAGAATGTATTACTGTGTCTAAAGTTAATATGGCGAACAAGATAATTTAATCTATACAATAGGTCAGAGCAATCAAACAAGTTAATTAAAATTTTATATAAAGTCATTAAATAATGATAATCATGGCGATCACTAAGACACATTACCAAATATATTTAATTATTTTGTATGCTAAAAGCCTGGTGGGGTATACTCCTCTCAACTTATACCATACATACTTCAAAAACATACGCTGAATTTTTCCAGGGTATTAATATGACAATTGTGGCCTAACTTAGAAACTTCTGCATTTTTAAAAGTCTCTAGTGCAAAGTACGATAAATCCATAGCTTTTTGAGGCTTCTGCCATTACTTCATTAACATGAGGAACAAAACATAATTTCGAGTCGAATATTATTCTCAAGTCACATAAAGTGTTAGAACTGGAAAGACATATTTCACGGCTACATTACACTTATCTTTATTAAGTTGCAAGTTATTATATAGGGTTATTATTTTCGATGTATAGAACTTTAAGTTGACATTACTGTACAAGATGGCGACCGATTTAACAGCTGTCAAGTGATTTATTCTCAGTTTCGTTTGGCAATGCATCATGAATAGACTCACGCCTGAACAATGCTTGCAAATAGTGCAATTTTATTTAGAAAATAATGGTTCTGTGCGGAATACGTATCGCGCACTACTTCCATTTTATCGTCGACAAAATCGTCCATCAGAGCAGTTAATTCGATTAACCATCGAACGTTTTCGCACCACGTATACTCTTAGAGACGCCGTACGGTGCGTACAGAAGAAGCTATTGCTCCTGTAGAGCGTAGCATTGAGGAAGACTCGAATGAGTCCATCCGCCACAGGAATTGGATCTGCGTCCATCCACTTTATAGAAGATTTTGCGGAAGGATCTTGGATCTTGTGATTTAACAGCGCTAGACTACATTCTGTGGGACTATGTAAAGTCATTGGTCTATGCGGATAAGCCACAAACGCTTGACCATTTGGAAGACAACATTCTCCGTGTTATTGCCGATATACTGCCACAAATGTTGAAAAAAGTCGTGGCGGTCATATGCCAGAAATCATATTTAAAATGTAATGCCACAAGATTATCTTTCAGATAAATAAAATTCATGTCAATCGAATAATCCATCGTTGTTTTATTGCAACTTAAAGTTCTATACATCGAAAAAAAACACCCCTTATAGAGACCAATTATTGATGTGCTCCAAACTACGTT